ATCTCCCCGACGGGGAATTGAACCCCGGTCTCCCGCGTGACAGGCGGGGATACTAACCACTATGCTATCGAGGACTGTTATATAGAAACAAATACTTTTGCTACTTTTTTTTCTGATAATCTTAATATTAATTAATTATTTATTCTATATAAGAAATCGGCTGAATTTGAAGAAGAAAGTTTATATTTAATTGGCGATTTTATTAAGTATACGATTTTTAGCATATATTTAGGTCATTTCAACAGCAAAACAATTTGTTATTATTAAAAACACAATGAGAAATAGCTTTCTTCTTTCTCTTACTAAACGAATAACAAGAGAATCTATTCAAAACAAAAACAAAAAAGAAAAGAAAATAAAATTAATTTTATAATATTGTGATATTGTGATATTGTGATATTGTGAAAGCAATTCGCATTAAATAAAAAGAACTCTGATTAGTTGTTATCAATTAACAACTCATTTATTATAAATGAGTGCTGTAAGATATTAGCACTTTTCTATCACTATTTTCATAATCAATTTATTTTCATTAACAATTGGAATTTTTTTCTTCAACGGTGTCATTAATTGATTTATAAATAATGTTATTATTTAATAATTGCTTTTAGCTGCTACTGTTAAACATTAAAGAGGTTTGCGAAAACGTCTTTAAAGAGATACTAAATAGTTCAAATTTCTATTCTCTTACAGCGAATAAGTTTTAAATATTCAATTGGTCACAAACGGGTTAATTTACAATCAGATTTTTGAACCCTTTGTCTTCTAATAATCTTTGCTTTGTTGGTGTTGGCCATACATTCGTTAAAAAATTAAATAGTAAAGCTGAAACACCCAACAACCAACCGAAAAACTGATTAATCCCGGTAAAATCGTAAAACGTATGAGAGTAAAATCGTCTACCAGTCCTTAATAATAAGTGTTTCCGCCACATTCTTATAATACGCTGGATTGAAAGAGTATCCAATGAGGGTTTGTGCAATCTCACCGACCAACCACAAGCAGTATAAGTAATCAGAAAATTAACGTAAATTAACGTATTTTGCGAATTGCTGTGGAATCCACAGGGTAAATGCCGTTCTGGAAACCCAGCAAAAACAACATCGAACTGTTGATTAAGAATAGTACCAGGTATGTTGAATGTAGAATGATCTCATAAGAGCAGCATCAAACAAGGTATGATATAGATTGATTGCCTAATTTAGATTGATTGATACTAGAGGCACTATGCTCCAGCTGGAGTTAAGGAGGCAAAAATTATATAAATATTCGATTTAGTTTACTTCTGGAGATATCAACTTTTAAAGTAATTTACTTTCTATATTGATTATTTACAAAAACTGCATACATCATCTAGTGTCAACCAGTATATGCGATTTTTATAGTCTTTATATAAAACACATGTAAACAACATATAGATTATGGGTGCGCCTACTTTTAAAAATTTCAAGATTTTTAACCACTAAATAGTAGTAATAAATTAGTTTAAATAGTGAAGTAAATGTCCAACTTTAAAGACCGATATCTTGAAAACTAATCTATATTGAAGTCTAAATGAAGTATATTGACAGAAGTGGTTCAAAATAATTGTCTTTACTTAAATCCATCTTCAAATAGGTTTGTTGGGTAAATCGAAATCTTGCCGCTATTTGTATTAAATATTGACATTCATTCCAAAAATACCAAAAGTTTTGTTGTGATAGTCATTTAACAATTTACTACCTTTCATTCATTATCTAAAACATGTCATAGAGTTTATGTTAATTGGCTTTAATTTTGTCAACGATACGGTTATCACTGATCTGTTGCTTTCGGGGCGTTGAAACTAATTTTTCTTTGTCGATTTTAATTTTTTTTTTTGCCTAATACTTAAGCAATTTAATTAACTTCGAAATTTTGTAATTCTTTGATTTAAATTAATGACAAATGTGACACTTTCATCAATTAATCTGACAAGGTTGCACACTTCATTGTCAATTTCATTTTTATTTTCGAATTATTTTGCTTGTACTCAGTCATTGGTCGCACTTCTGTAATATTGTGTCTCTAATGTTATTAAAAAATAAAAATAATCTACAATGAGTATGAAAAAGTAGCAATTACTCATCAAAATCTACGAACATATTTTGTTTTTAATTCACAAGACAAGCTTAAACATTTACAAATAATTTGTTAACATTTATGTGAAAATGAAAATATAAAACCGTGATTAATAAATTGCCAGACATGCAACTATGCGCTGAGACAGTTCAACGTAATGACAGGTGAGCAAACCGACAAACGACCGAAAGCACCATAGAGTACATATGGCATTACCTATAGAATATAAAAAGTCAGCTAAAAGTTCAAGACAAGTTAAAGACAAGCTGAGCTTCAAGCTGAGCTCTAACAGAATGTCAATGCACACAGCATGACGTTGACCTTAGCTGTGTGTGAAGATGCGGGACTCAGTCGTCGAGCTCGCACGTGTGTATCTACAAGTACTGATGCACCTACAAGCACCTACAGCTAAACAGACAAAGTACGGCACATAAATTGTATCTTCAACATTTTTGTATCTTGACATTGAGGCGCATAGCTAATTCATTCATGTTTGCTTTTCGCTTGTTTGTTGTTTTTAGAGATTTTTTCTATTGTAAGTAATAATTTTATTTACCTTAAATTATAATTTTTTACATTGAACTTTAATTGTTCGTACAGCAAAATAAGATAATTGCCGCAATTGGAGTTTGCCTCATCCAGTGCAGCTTCCACCACAAACCAGTGTTGCATATACCATAACTGCATGGCTTGAGACATGAGTGTTGTTAACGGTTTCACGTGTGGCTTGTGTAAGTGAAAGATAAAATTTCCACACTGAAATTGCTACTAAAGTGTCTGTAATTTGAGATAAGGCTTTGTTTAAGTTCTAAACCTGGTTTGCCATGTTACACGATTACGTGTTACACATGTCTTTCATCACAATTACTACAAATTGATTTTTAAAAATACACTGCAATTAAATCTTCAATTATGTTGATTGGTTTGAAAAACATGAAATTTTGTTACAATTGTGTAAAAAGTTATGTAAAGTTGTATAAAAGTTTTATCACTAATTGCAGACCCCAAACGGTAGTGAAACTTTTACAAAACATGGTTTACTAGGCACATCCATATAATTTCGACACTCTTATCTGTAAAGAAACGTATATATTTTCACAGTTTTCCTTTATTATAAAATATATAATATTGTGATTTTGTTATATATTTAACAAAACGATGATTATAGTGAATAACTTTTGGAATATAATATATGTATTTTTAATCAAGTAAATTCGTGGGCTGATCATTTAACTGTTGTGGATATTGCCAAATACCCATTATCAGTGGGTCCAATGTAAATGTGCAGAAATACTTTCTATAGATAATAGAGTTAAAAAACCGATTAACTCACAACGATTAAGTTAATTTATATAGCTGTGGTTTATGCGTGGTTGTTTACGATAAACAATAGAAATTGATAAAACTCTAACATGGAATAAGTTTAGGTTGACTTTTCAAGTTTATAAAATCGTCAATGTTGCAAAGTTGACAGACTTCAATTTAAAAATTATATATATATTAATTGTACTAAGATACCCGAAACAACTATATAGTCAGTCCAAGAATTTACTAAAATAAAAAAATTACTTTAAAATTTGAAATTTTACTCACTATTACGCACCTTTTCTATTCTAAATAAATTTCAATTCGAACGATATAAAATGTTTAAATACTATCGAGTTATTATAAGTGAAATACTTACTTATTAATTATTATTACTTACTTATTACTTACATATTATTATAACAACCCATTACCGGGCTTCAGCATGACGCATCATATCTCACTAAACACCTCTGTTGCATGCACGCCTTCTCCAGTCTCATACATTAAGTTCGATTAGCTTTCCCTCAAGTTGATTACTCTATCGAAGACACGGTCTTCTTCCTTCAACTGCCACTTCAAATACCTTTTTTGCTGTATATGAAGTCTGTTTAGCGATCCCCCAATTGCACCGGAGACATGGTGTTCTTCCTTCAACTACCCACTTCTTCCTCCAACCTTTACTTGTTTTGCTGTGTCTTAATCCATTCTTACGACACGACGAAATCGGGGAAACCAAATAGTATGTTGTTTAACAAGTGAAATAGATTCTAGTTTAAATCGATTCTGTAGTTTTCATCTTTTTAAATAAAGTATCTGAGCCAGCATTACCAATCATTAGATGATAGGAGCAATTACTTTCTACTTATCTTTATTATTATTAACGTAATTCTTTAAAACTTATCTCACTGCTTTCCTGTTTTTGTTTTTGTTATTAATACTAGTTTATAATCAAGTGCTTTTTTATCATTTTTATTTGGTACTTGAGTCCAAACACTATTGCTCAGTAGCATCTCACGCTGATTTCAATAAGAGCGTGACGATATTTTCTTATTACGCGATGTTAAATGGTGGTTGGGATTTGACAAAGGATATAACTCTTAATTACAATTCATCATCAATTAAGTTTGAAGTGTGTTTAAAGCTCATTCTAAGAATTTATTTATAATTTATAATATTATTTATTTACTTACTTATTTCGATGATTTTAAGAACCTTTTACTGAGTATCTACATGGCATACTCGTATCTCCAATGAATCCACTTTAGCTAAAGCTTATTCAAAGTATATAAGGGTTAGAATTCCATTTTAATTACTTTTTTTTTATATTTATTTTTCATTTGTTTCAGTTGTACTTTAAAATAATTAAAATAATAATGATTTAAATAATTTAAGTGAAAATACTTGTCTCGTTGAAAATCGAATCTCATTTTCTTTTTCAAAAATAAACTTTAGCTAAACAAATACATTTGATTTTACATGACCA